GAAAATAAACCTTGGGATTATCTATAAAACTGATTGAGTTGAAACATTTCTAATTGAAAATTACATCCATCTCAAAGGTCTTTTTTTTTTTTAGATCTTGAACATTCTGTGCCTAAAATTAGATTACTGAGCTAAAAATACAATTTGAAGTCTCTCTTTTCCCAAAGGTAGTTAGAATATTTTGACAGGGTTTCAAAAATGGACAAGTAAGCAAATTATAGGAAATTCAGCCAAACTTTCATCATGCTTCTGTATTTCAGAGGTCAAATATTTCTTTTAGAATATCTGACTTTTTCTAAATGAAGCACATATCTTTAGCTCATTTTCTTCTGTAATAATACAAAAATGTGGTAGCTTTTCCCACTGAGCTTATAAATCGAGCTAATCTGGGACATATTTGGAGTCAGAGCTATCTGTACTTTAAGTAAAACAGACTGTTGCAGCTTGATCTGGAGGAAATGTTCCAGAATGGTTTACAAAGGAAAACATAAGCTTGCTTGCTTAGTAGACTTTTATGGACTGAGGATCTAGCCATCAACCACAGGGAGTTTTTTCTATTTCCTTCCTCTCATTTAAATAACATCGTCATTTCCCATAGGATAAAGAAGAAACTTTTAAGATAACATCTGAAGTAATTGGTCCCATGCAAAATTGATGCTTTGGTTGGTTCATTTCTTTTAGAAAAAATAAGGAGAACAGCAGTGGAAATAGTCAGTCTGGAAACAGTATTAACATTTCTAGATTATTAAATTCTTAAGGTGTCAAAAAATTTACAAATAATTAAAATGTCAATGAATAAACAACTGCAGAATTCCCTACAATGGAATACTAGCTAGTATTTTATAAAAGGAATGAACTTTATATGCATGACATCAATGAATCACTAAACAATCATTTAGGTGAAAGGGTTTTTATTCCATTTATAGAAAATTCTATAAAATACAATGTTTGCTACTTTCTTAAAGCATTTTTATCTTTGGCAAACATGTATGTTAAGAATATATCCATTTTCACATAATATATTGCACACGAGAGAGCATTTGTTTTTCCCAGGCAATCAATTCATTTTAGGAAAAGTTAAATTAGTGAACTAGTAATCCAAATTTAGAAAAGGAGGATAACTAAAAATATACATCTTATAATTTTTTTTGTTATAGCAGTTTATGTCCACAAATCTAAAAATAGGAGAAAAAAAAAGCCATTACTTCCAACTGCTTATGACAGATCCTGCATATCATGTCCCAGTTTCCAATATAGTTTTAACAGACACAGAGCATTTCATTATAGCTAAAGTTATGATGAAAACACACAAGTCAATGATTTTTGTTATTTAACGTTTGTCTATTTACCAAAGCATCTTCAGAAAAAATTTTTTTAAGTGTGTATATATGGATCTGGGACTATTATGAGAACTGTGAGACAGCCCTGAGCGCTGAAAAGTGACTTCCAAATCCGAGGTACAATCTGGTATTCCCAGCAGTATCCTGAGCCCCAACACTCTTTCTGACAGAAATTTTGTAAATTAATAATGGTCTCAAAGCACTAAGTTATTACAGCATTTTTCAAATTATGGTGACTTTATTATTATTTTTTTAAGATTTATTCTATTTATTTATGCATACAAGAGCTGGGCTGTAGGCCAGAGGGGTGTGTGTGTGTGTGTGTGTGTGTGTTCGGGGGGGTAGGGGATGGTAAGATGATTCACCAGCAACAGAGTGGGCGAACAGTAGACAGTAGGCAAGCAGACTGAAATATACTGCTGAGCAACTATACAATATTTTTTAGTTTCAAAATATTGGTAATTCTAATTTCTATAAAGATTAAAGCAATTACTTGCTCAGAAATAAAGATGTTCTGGATGGTTTCAAGACTTCTGATGAGGAAGCTTTATGAAGAAAATGGAGACTCTTGGTCAATAAGAGAGTAGGGGAAAAGCAGGCATTTGTTATATACAAGAAAGCTCATGAACAAACCTGGGGCTCCGGAAACAGAGAATAGACTCATCTGAAGGTTGACAGAATAAAGAGAAACCACTGACTGGACCCTGACTATTCAGTCTGTGGAGTTCAGACACAATATTTCACAAGTATTAGGGAATCATGGGTATTAAGAATGCAATCTTAAGCTTTAGAGAAAGTAAAAACATTTCACATGCTCAACATGTCTTCAATTTAAAAAGGAGTAATGAATGTATTAGAAAGAAATATAAGTAAAAATATGAGCATTTATGCTCAATCTCACAGACCAGTGATGCTTACAGTTCCAAAAAGTTCTAATAGGAACTGCTTTTGAACTATAAAGAGTGAATCAAAATAGAATTAGAAATGTAAAGCTCAGGACAATTTCTTTCCAAAATTCTAGAAATACTGAAACAAAATATTAGGTGATAATTTCCATCTCTACTATGAAGATGTACTAATGTATATAAAGTTGTCTTATTTTTCAGAATTTTGCATTTCAGTATCATTCAAGTCACATCTTGGGCTATTTCATTAACCTCACCCAGACATCTAAAAACAAAAACCCTACTTGGAAGTACTTCAAGACATCTGTGAAAGCAGTAATTTGTAAAAATCCCAAAGCATATGAGGTATATAATTATTAAATGATGACACTGATCTCATGTTGCTTGTTGGTCATCTTGCATAAATTTCCATTAGAAAAGTTAATAAAACAAACAAAACAACAACTACAAACCATGATGCTGGGCAGTTGAATATTGAATTAATTTGTCCCCCTTTTTTCCATTATTACTCAATACATTCTGTACTCTGAGATGAGAAGGTTCTTTTCTGACTCTTGATTATCCTGATTTTACCCCATTTAAAGTCATTTTCACTTAAGGCATAACCGACCTTCTTAATGAAAATTTTCCTGGAATCTATATCTTAACACCGTATTAAAAATATGTAGGGTAAGAAAAATACACAAATGTGGGCCCTCTCTGGTGGCACAATGGGTTAAAGCACAGCACTAAGAAGCTAAAGCCACTTGAGCATGAGTTTGATCTGTGCCCCGGAAGTGACCCACATGGCATAGTGGACTTCTCCCGACCCCGCCCACTGCTCCCCTCGGCAGTGTACTTCATCAGTCAGCCTGCTCTGCTCCCCACTCTGTCTCTGGTGAATCCTCTCACTACCCCTGCACCTCTGGCCTATACCCCAGTTCTGTATGCATAAATAAATAAATCTTTAAAACACATACACAAATGCTTGCCTGATAAAAACACTGCTAAACTCCATAAATTCCACATATTTACTGACATTTTCATAAGTGTGCCTGTTCAACATACTGCTGACTAATAACTGCAGAAGTGTTTTCTTCTACTGTACATACAAAGTGGATTTTAAAATATCTATCTCGGGCCCTCCCTGGTGGTGCAGCGGGTTAAAACACAGCACTAAGAAGTTAAAGCCACTTCAGTATGAGTTTGATGCCCACCTGCCCCAAAGGTGAACCACATGGTGCGGCAGACCTCTCCTGACCCTGCCCACTGCTCAATAGCGTACTTTGCCGATCTGCCTGTTCTGCTCCCCACTCTGGTGAATCCTCTCACCCCCATGCAACTCTGGCCTGTACCCCTGTTCTGTATGGCACAAATAAGTAAGTCTTTAAAAAAAAAATTCTATCTCAACCTTTTTGCCTTATTTTAAATAAGTCTAATTAGTCAATATAGTAATCTTAATACCATATAAATATAATAATTCGCATTTCTTTTGTGTCTCACCATTCCTAAAGTTTTGCTATGAAATAATTCTAATAACAGCAACTATTTATGCCCATACTTAAGTATTAAAGACATATTTAACAGATTTCTCAGTAGGAAAAAAACTAAAAAACACTTTTTACATGAAGATCTATCTCATTTAAGTTAATTTCTGCTCTTGAAGTCACTTATCAGGACTTATAAACCTCCTTTCAGGTAAGTTACAGGAAAAAAGACAAAGAAATACCCTTACTTCTTAAAGCATAATGCTAATGTGTTCTAGGTCAGTATGGTTATTCATAGATTTGATGTTAAGAATGTCTGTGCTCTACACCAGTAATGGTGTCTTTAGTGAGTTATTCCTTTACATAATCACTTGATTTATGAGACAGATAAAGAATTGAGCTTTTTCTCTCACAAAGAGAAGTGGTCTCTATGAGGACTATCTGAATTTATCAGCATGGTGCTCCAATGTACAAGTGAACATTATACACAAGGAATGGAATCTTATCAACTTCCCTCTATAGCTGATATGAACACAAGATGCTGTTTATACCAAGTACAAAAGAGCTATGCCAAATATAAGATAATAATCCACGGTTGCTTCCACCCACAAGAAAAGTTCTGAATTCCCTCAAATTTTGAGGGTCCACACAAAGAGAATTTCTTTGGTTTCAAGAATGAAATTCTTCCCAGGAGTCAGGTTAAGTGTTTGAAGGAAAAAATAGCATAATTTTCCATTTGAGGAAGATAGCTTCCCAACTAATGCACTCCCTGGGGTTCAAATGGGAGAATGTTAACAAAAACCACAAAGAAACCCAAATCAATCCCCGGGAAGGTCAAATTCACTGAAAATTTTGAAGTTGTTCCCCTGGAAATTCCACAGAAAAGTTTTCCTCAACTAACAGTATCATTATGATTCTTAATAAGAAGCCTACAAATAAAAGAAAATCTGCACTACCTTTGTTCTTGATCAAATTACTAATTCCTATAACCACTGTAAATACTATTTGAGGCTATACAAAGAGAAACAGGATACCTCAAGGGTGACAGGATGTGCAACTGAGATGTAACTAATATTTCAAATATGTACTAAAAAAGAGCTCCACCAAATAAAAATGAATGCTACATGGTCCTTGGAGGAGCAGACAATGTACCTGCTGGGAATGGCAATGCTAACTTTAGGATATGGATAGTAGCTCAACGCTATGGGCCCAATAGTCAGTGAGGACAAATTTCACTTTTCTAATGGGCATTTTTTCTTTAAATGCTAAAACATCAGATGAGAGCCTACCTGACATTTTGGAGAATTTGCTGTGCTGGGATTGATATTCCGCATTGCCTAAGAGTGAAAAATAAGACGGATAAAAATTACTTTAAGCCACATAGTTTGGCTGTGTAGGCTGACTTATAAATTGCATCCAGACATATCACCATAGCACAGAATTCCCAAGTTAGCCCAAGAAGCAGCAGACTGAGGAAGACAGGAGCCAAAGGAATCACCACGAAACAAACTGAAATCTCAGAAACGTTGAACAGCATCGAAGACAGGACAGCAAAACTCTGAGTGTGGGGACGCAAGTAAGATTTTATATTGGCCAAGTAGGTTTTTGCTTCTGAGTATTAGAGAAGCAGGAAATTTAGAATTTGCTATTTCCATGATAAAAGAAACTGTCAATGGGAAGTTCACAGAAAGTCAGAAGACTTAAAAGACACTGAGTTTAAACTGATTGATAAAAAGCAAAAACATCCTAAAAAATGGACTATTTGTATGAGAACAGTGCAGGTCTGTCATTTCAATGTAAGAAAAGGCGACACAGTATGATAGTAAGAAGAAACAAAGAAGTTACCTTCAAAGGAAGTGAAGCTATTCTGTCCAGGACCCATCACCCAGAGTAAGAGTGAGAGTAAGATTTAGAAAAATTCTTTGAAGGAAGAGTTTTAAAGTAGCAATATTTTGCCCACCAAAACAAAACCAAACAGCCAGGCATGTAGTTTGTATACATGCCAAATATGTATGGCATAGAACAAAATGATGAATGGTCCATTTCTAGACCTTAGCAATTACCTTAAAAACAGTAAGACTATAACATTAGCAATTAAACAACTTTTTCTTAGCACAGTGTCTTGCTTGAGAGTCTTCATTTCTGAGTAACTGGAACTTGCATTTACTTAGATTATCAAGCACTAAGTAACAACAAATTAAAAGCAACACTGAAAAACACAGGCTTCGTAAGACCCATTCTCCCATTGTTTAATTTCTTCCAATGGCCATATAATTACACCTTTAAGTGGGATTATCTTGTTCTAATTATAGTTTAATTTATATGGAAAAACATTAGTTCCACATACAGTAAGCTATATTAGTATGCTTCTTTCTTCCACCTTCTTAATGGCAGACAAAGAAGAGTTTCCTTCAAAGCCACTTACAGATACCACAGACTGGCTTAAACTATTGCTGATCAGGGCTTACTTTTAGTGCCAAGCACACCAGAATAATACTGGCAGATTACTGACAGCACAAACAGTTTAAAGGTGATTATAGGATACCATAGGACCTGTTCCTCAAATCTCACACAGGCATTTGTACTGACATTTTTAAAATTCAGCCCTTACAAATTACCTTGTTAAAGTGGCATCATATTGGGTTAGAAATGTAGAGTAAAATGATTTTTTCACTTATACTTAAAATGCTATGATTTAGGTAGGGGAAAGTACAACAGGTTCAAGTATTTTTATATGTTTGTAAACAGAGTAAGGGGTTGGGGGGAGAAACATACAAGAAACTGATATTGTTTACATCCAGAAAACAGAGCTAGAGAAATGGGAAAGAGATTTTACTTTCATTGTCACCTTTGTATGTTTTCAATATTGCACATTAAAAAAAAAAAAATCACAAAAATTTAAAATACACTGCTTAAATGATAGGATCACATGCCCAATATCTGGATTTAGATTTTACTACTCAGAAACAAGTTAAAGTGAAAATAGACGTTGAGATGAGGGATTATCTATTCTTAGGGAACATAAAGCCCAGCAATACTTTCTGAAAGAAAACTGATGGAAATGCAAAGAGGTTGCAAAGAGGTCAAGCTCTCTAACATCAGGAACTATACATTCCCAACGTGAAAAAAGAGTCCACAGGAGATCACTCTGGAATATACTCAACTTGAGATAACATGTAATATGTTTTAGGAGACATTTTAGATTCAGCAATATTGAAATCTATGTCATTTGTGAAATATCATATGGGTTCACTCACCTAAATAACTGGTTTAAAGTAAAAGATACTCTTTCCCAAAAGAAGCCTAGTGTCGTCCCCACCGCCCCCCCCGTCCCCCCCACCCCCCCAGCAGGGTTCTCAGAAGTATTGGAATCTATAATCTTCCAGGCTCTTTTGCAGAAGCATCATGCTTCCATTGAAGTTTTCTAATCTTGATGATCAGGTCCAAACAGCTCTGTGATCAGGTTTATGAGGTACAGGTTGCATGATCAAAGGTCAGTCAAGAAACTAGTAAGGCCAGGGCAGAGATAGAGAACACTTCTGTGTCTCTCAGCATCCCTCTGTAACCGATAAATGCTGAAGTACGCCCAACTTCATGTAGGAGAACAAACCCCAAAAAGTGGAAGGCTGGTTTCTAACCTGTGGCCTCACCTGCCGAAGCAGTTCTTGCTGCTTCAGTCGCAGCCTCTCTTTCTCCATCTGAAGCTGCTGTAGCCGCATCTGTTGCTGCTGGTTAGAGCTGCCACCACCCATGATGCCTCCCTGTGGGCTCTGGGGGGCCAGCGGAGGTGGCTGCTTCACTGGCGCACTCTGACTGATTCTCTGGTTCATAGCTGAAATGAAACAAAAGAACTGTCCTAAAAAACTAGTAAAGGAAAAGGAATGCATAAACAATGGGGCTATACAACGCAATCTTTTTCATTAAAGTCTGGAAATAACTTAAAACTCCATCAGTGGTATAACAGTTAGTTTGTTATTGTCATTGCTGGTATCACTCTTATTATAAGATGTGAGGCAGCCATGCTGGAAAAAGAAACAAGGGGCAGCTCTAACAAATACACAGTGACATGGGACAGCCTGAGACAGAATAAAAGAGAGCACAGATCAGAAAAGGGGAAGGTGGCAGTGGAAGAAAATACTGTATATTTGGAGAATATGAATTAAGACAGCTAAGAAACAATTAATAAGTGTTGCTTTGGTGTTGGGACTACTACAGGGCTGAGCTGAAAAGAGACACTCCTTGTAACTTTAAAGTCTGATTACAAGGTGAATTCATTGCTTATTACAAAATATAAATAAATCCACAATTAAAATTAAATCTCCTAAAATAATCGAGACAACACATTCTGAGCAGGAAAGCCCATAAAAACTTTAGTATATGCTTAAAAAATGAAATGTATATATGTATGTTTTTACACACACACATACACGCACACACATATGTACACATTTTTAATAAAGCAAGTATACTTCAATGAGATGATGTTGGTCATAATATCATGTGCCTACACCAATCTGGATGGCAGAGACTGATCTCTGTTAACACCACCAGCACATAGCTTAGGTAGTCAATAAGCAACTACCTGACAACCAGCAATGGCCATGAGTGTTGTATGAATGAATTCCTGTCAGAGATATAACAGTCAAACTGTACATTGTGGAAATTTCAATGTGCAGATGGAAAACTCGTGTGAAAATGTAAATAAGAATGAAACAACTCCCCATTTTCAGATACATATTCAACTTTTTAAGGTGAGATTTCGGGTCACTGTATTTACTAGGCGTTCAATAGAAACTGACCTAAGAAAGCCTCCGACCCAATAGGTTTCGCAGACATTCAGAGAAGACATAATAGCAATGCTATACAACCTCTTCCATAAGTCAGCAAAAGAATACTTTGTCATATTTTATCAGGCTCACCTCACCCCCAACACTGAACAAAGACATATGAAGAAAATTACAGACCAGTTTCTTTTAGAAACATCACTACCAAAATACCAAACAACCTTCACAAGCCACTCTTGTGACTTAGTAGTCTCTTGGGCATGCAGGAACTCTATGGGGATGAGCCCACAAGAAGCCTTTTGGTAAACACCATCTGCTAAAAGTAGACATCTTGGAGACCATGTGAACAGATCTCCCTGGTCGATCTTCCCTCAAAGCTCTGCCATGGGACCTCTCCATTTAGTGTACTGACCTTTTTCACCTGAGCTAAATTTTTCTTTATAAACTTGTATCCTTTTTGTTTTTTAGAGCTGAGTACCCAAATTAGGAAAAATATCCTCAGAATGACATCATAGTATCTGGTTAGTGCTGAAAAACTACCACAACACTTCTAGGTAAGTAATTATTCACTGAAGCAAGAAATGGACTATTAAGATAGAAACCATGGCCCTCCCTGGTGGCGCAGCGGGTTAAAGCACAGCACTGAGAATCTAAAGCCGCTTCCGCATGAGTTTGATTCCCACCTGCCCCGGAGGTGACCACATGGCGTGGCAGACCTCTCCTGACCCGCCCGCTGCTCCCCTCAGCAGTGAACTTCGTCGATCTGCCTGTTCTGTTCCCCGCGCTGTCTCTGGTGAAGCCTCTCACCGCCCCTGAGCCTCTGGCCTGTACCCCAGTTCTGTATGCACAAATAAATAAATCTTTAAAAAAAAAATAAGATAGAAACCACATAGAAACCTTAGGATAACCATAACACCCATCATTATCACTACAGAACCAAGAATATTAGAAGGAAGATTAGAATGCCTTAATTCAACTCAACCTACTGAGTGATTCATTAACCTGACATTATTAATGCATTACTGTTTTTTTAATTCCCACTTTTCCTCTCTGGTTTTTGTACATTCCTTTTTCTAATTTCGAGTTGACTATATTTAGTCCAAGTTTTTCTTAGACTAAATTAATTTACCTCTACTGTTTTTCCTGAATGTTAAACATTGAGATAGTGTAGGTAATCTGGGTTGTTCCATTCCATATATTTGATATTTCCATTTAGCTTATGGGTTATTTAGTATACTTCACTAGGTGTGTACAAATAACTATGGCTAAAAGCCATGTGAAATAATTTCTCTGTGTGATAAGGCCATCAGCTCAATGTGCAGATTCATTTGTGACAATCTGCTTTTGATTTTTATAAACATGTGTTTTACTTCCCATCCACTATCCCTCCACCCCAAAAGATAATCTAAGCAAACACACAGACCTCTTAACTATGTGGTAGCATACTATTATTATTTTACTCCACTTTGTCAGTTATCTACCAAATGTAGTTGAGATCACTCTAAACAACTATATAGAGGTTTCCATTTTCTTTGATTAGTATCATATTAAAGCAATTTTTTGTTATGTTTTTATGGTTACCAAGCTTTGTGATTACATTATATTTTTGCTACTGTATCGTAGGCTCTTCAATGGGAGACTGCTGGGTTAATGGTTAACAACATAAGTAAACTACTAACTTTCCACCTCTCATACAAACATCAAGATTTTGCTTTGTTGTATCCCTACCAATAATGTATGAGAATGTCTTTTTTTTATTTCATGACATTACCAAACTCCTGGATTTTTGCCAATTCAAAAGATGAGAAATGGTTTCACAGTGTAATTACTTTGCAACATCTTACTGTAAGTCTGACCAAATCACCTGTATTTTTTATGTGAACTGTGTTCATATATCTTTCTACGGGGTTATTGTTCTTTACTTTTTATACACTAGGGACAGTACAACTTTGTCATACTTAAGTAAAAAATAATTGGCTTATTACTTCTCTTTAGTTGTTTTTCCATACAAGAATTTGTTAAGTAGTCAAATATTTTTTTTCCACAAAATTTTATCTGCTGTCTCCATTTCCAGGTGACAAGTTATTTATCTATTTTTTTAAATTCAAAAACTATATAGTTCTACTTTTAAGTATCTCGCAATCAGTGCAATCATTCAGGATCTTTCCTGGTGTGTGGCATGAGTGGGTATATCTTATCTTTCTTTTTTATTTTTTAAAGATTTATTTATTTATGCATACAGAAATGGGATACAGGCCAGAGGAGTAGGTGCAGTGAGAAGATTCACCTGAGATAGTGGGGAGCAGAGCAGACAGATCGATGAAGTACACTGCTGAGGGGAGCAATGAGCCAGACAGGAAAGGTCTGCTGTGCCATATGGATCACCTCCCAGGCCAGGGATCAAACTCAAACTGAAGCAACTGTGGTTAGTTTGCAGTGCTGTGTCCCAACCAGTTGCGCCACCAGGGTGGGCCCCTATCTTATCTTTTTTTAGTCCCAGCAACTATGCGTGGAAGTATGCCCACCTCCACTCAACTTTATCAAAGACTAAATTTTACATCTAGACTACTATTCTGTTCATTAAACTACTTTTGTACCCAGCACCAGTTTTCATCACAAACTTTAAAATGTTTTAACAGCTGGTAGGGCAAATTTTACTATTATATTTTGGAAGTTCATCTATATACACTGTGTAATTAATTATCTAGCTTAACTACACTATTGTTAGAACAATGCTGGCTATACATTGATCCTTGAAATGTCTTATTTCTTTCTGACTGTACATAGTCCATCTTGCTTTTGTGTGTCTGTCTGGCTCTCACCACTGAACCAATTTCTGATTTCTTTGTTCTAACAATGAGTTGCTGATATGAAGAGTTGAAAGGTCCTGGAGCCTTGGCTGGCCCTAACTTTGCACTTGTTCACTGCTTTGTGTGCTGTTATTTTCTAATCCATGGAAAATACTTTTAAATGTATGACACCAGGTTTCAGCTTTTTGTTTATTTCATTTTAACATTTTATCTGACAAAGAAAGGACATTAAAACAGGACTTGATGTTTTGTAATGAGCAAAGCCTTATTAATATTCTTCAAAACATACCACAACTTTACTTATGAAAACTCTTTATACAAAAAAATGACTAAAATGTTCCTCTGTTTTATACTTTAGTATTACAGAGGAGAATGGATAGAAAAAGATCCAAACGTTTTGAGAGCTAAGGTTTGCCAGGCACTGTCAAGCACTTCACTGAACACAAGTGGTTCCACCTGCCTCTCACCAACATTACTAGATGCGTGTATCACAAACATTCAGGTATGGCATTAAAACGAGGTCTCCAGCATCCAACAAACTATGATTAGTAATTCATTTTATTTTCTCCTAACTGCACCTGGGGATATGACCACCCCCCTTTTCAAGTTACGGTGGGGATTCATAACAAATGGAAAGCATCACATAGATGCCCCATAAACCTTAGTCTCTTCCCTTCTTCAGAACAGGTCTTTGTAATCTTTAAGAGAACCACTCCAACAGATAATCATCCTGGCTAAGATTCCCATACTCCCCATTACTCCTTCTACTTAGCCATACCACTCAGTCTTTTTAAGTATTACATGAGCCAGAGCGATTTCTTTACTACAACATTGAAATGGGAAAACACAGGAGATGCAGTGAGCCTTCCTCAGATTTTTTTCTTGTTGGAAAGGTGTTCCTGGCACTACTATAGAACACTAAGCATCTCCCAATAAAAACATTTCACACATTGTGCTACACAGAGCTTGGTAATATGGCTTAAACCTGAGAGGTGTTCTAATCTGAAAATACATCTCAAGATGTGAACATCTCAAACTGAAGCCTAGGGCAGAAAAATAGTAGAGGAAAACTGCCTTCAAAGCCAAGCAATTAAATAAAAAATAAACTTAAAAAAGCTGTGAGGAAACAGCCATTAGGAAGTTGTAGAGTTAGAATTATAAGACATAACAGATTTCAAAACAGATTCTAGAGCTTCACTCTGTTAAACATTTCAGCTAATAGGAAACAACAGAAAAGC